GTGGGAAATAATATTGTTCAGTATCTATTGTGTATTGAGATGAAGTAAAGGCAAAATTAAATAACGGTCTATTAATTTCATAGTAGTTGTTTGATCTAAAAGCTTTTCTATTATGTGAGTTGAATATTCAGCAAAGTGTAGGTTACTGACAGAAAAAATGTAACCTCTGACAGTTACAGAGAGAACCGACGCAAGAACCTCCATCCAACAAACTTTTACTTTTAAACCCTCGCACTTTCCCCCCATTCATTCTCTGACTGGTGTTGGTTTTTTTTAATTATTGATTTTAACAGTTTTCCTTTTTAATTTGGTCATTTTCTCTGGCCTGTCTTTGTTTATTGTTGGTTTTGGGAGACGTGGGAGGCTTGCTGGTAAGAGGGGGAGGTTGGGAAACATAGATGATGCAGCTTGGTGAAATCAGGCGCTCGTCAAAATAATCACAATGAAGAAACAGACATTTTTCTGCAGGTTTCTGAATTTTTATTGAATTTTTGTTTTTTCAGCTCAACACTTTTCATGTCCATTTAAGCACACATTTCTGTGCGGATTTTACTGAAAAAGTTGATTAAAAGTACCCAAAACAAAGGAAATTTTCAGTTTCCACGGACTGTCAAGCTAAGGAAATAACTATAATCTTTTCGGCCATTTTTTCACTAATTCTACCCCTGAAACCTCCTTCATTCGCAAAATATCTCAACTTGTATTCCAGATAAATGGATATTTTTTTTACCATCCAAAGCAAGATAAATGAACAAGGTTTAAGATGATACCAATAACTCCACATGCCCAAGATTTTACTTTTGTGTAGTGAGATGTAGTGAGGACATGATTTAATGACGGCCTTGTTTATGCAAAACTTGTTTGGTCTAAAGACTTTTTCTTTTCAATCTGAGTTGACAATTGGGCACCGTGAAAGTTTCTGACTGGGAAGATATTTGGATATCCATTATGTATTGCGATGAAGGTGCGAACAAATTTAACAACAGCCTAGGTTATATCAAAGTCTTTCTGTCTCTAAATGGGTTTATCCCTTTTGTGGGCTTTTTTCTTTTGTTCTTTTTTCTGTTGGACAGAGCCTGTCAGGGGGGTTCTCGTGGCCTAGAGGTTAAGGTGTCCACTTCTCATTCAATAGGTCACGGGTTCGACTCCGGATAGCAACGGTACATTTTCTTCTCTAAAAGTTTCTCCCTTTTCCTTCTTTCCTGCTCTCTCACAGTGTTCTGTCATCTGCTTTCTTCTCCACTTTCTGCCCCCCCCCCCCCAACCCTTTGGCCCCCTCCTCTGGGTTTCTGACTCTTTCTGCAGCCTTTCAACTGCTACTCCTCGGCTCTTTCTTATCACTGTCTTTCTGCCACACCCCTGATCTTATGGCAGGTAAGATCAAACACCTAGCCTTCTCGGATAGGGGCTAAAAATCTCGGGGGGTACCGTGTTCAAATTGTGAACGTTAAAGATCCCTTGTCGGTCCAAAATCGGTAAGAGTAGGCTTCGGTCTCCACCAGGGCAAAATTCAAAATTTCCTACCTGCTGAAAATGTTTAATGTGTCCCGCGCACTCATATTACCTTATGCAGTTGCGAAAAAAGAACCTATCAACCCTGGCACGCCTTTGTTAATAATTGTTTGGAAAAACTTGTGAAGCTTGCTGGTTAAAACGAGGTGTTTGAAAATCATAATTTGAATATTCATTGTTCATTGCGTACTGCTTTGTAGAAGGGACCAAATTTAATGATGGCCTGGTTAATATCAAATTGTTTGGTATAAAGACATTTTTTGTCTGAGTTGACAAATGAGCAGCGTGAAGGTCACCAGGTTCTATGGAAAATGGGATGTCTGTGAGAGTTACAAAAATAACAGGGCCTCAATAATGTCAAACAACAACTTAATTTACCCCCCCCCCCTTCTTCAACAAACCCCGTGTTCCTGTTTGAGGTTTTGTTGGGGTTTTTGGGTTTTTTTCGGGGGGTGGGGTTGGGGGGTGTTAAAAGTAGTTCTTTTTAAATTAAATGATCTAGGTTTTTTGTCCTATTTTCAATCTTAGTTGTCCCTATGTCTCAGGCAGTAACACGGTGTCTGTTGAGAGCATAGTCTGTTGATGACTTGTAATAAATAAAGTCAAGTTGTGACATCACTTCACCAGGATTTTTTTTTTAATCAAGAGATTCGTCAATGCTCAAATCAGCCTACGTTTATGGATGTCTTGAAAACTTAAACTTGGCTCATCTGTACTGCAGTTCAGTCTTTAAAAAAATGTATAAGTGTTTTACGCCGCACGCAACTGTATAAGGTCATATGAGCGCGCGGGGCACACCTAATATTTTCAGTTGGTAGGAAATTTTGAACTTTGCCCGGGGGGGCGTCCGAAGCCACATCTTCTCGATTTTAGACCACCAAGGGATTTTTAATGTACGCGACTTGCACACGGGCCCTCCGAGATTTTTCGCCCTTGTCCAAATGTAGATCTTTCCTACCTGAAGATCATGGGTGTGGTTGAAAGACAGCAGTAAGAAGGAGCCAAGGAGTAGCAGTAGAAAGGCTGCAGAAAGAGTCGGGAGCCCAGAGGAGGGGGCAAAGGAGGTTGGGGTGAGGCAGAAAGAGGAGACAAAAGCAAACGACAGAACATTGCTTGAGAGCTTGAAAGAATGTGGAAGGAGACAATTTTAGAGAAAATGATTTTTTGACCACTTCCCGGATTCGAACCCGGGTCCTTTGAAAGAGAGGCCAACACCTTAACCTCTAGGCCACAAGATCTCCCCGCAGTTCAGAGGAAACAACGACAACTTCGTCCATTGTGTACCCCGGCTTTGATTAAGGTTGTTTTTGGAGACGTGGGGCCCGCTGGCAAGAGGGGAGGGTTGGAAAATGTTTGAATACTCTTTGTGCGTTGAGATGAAGGAGGGGGCACAATTAACTGACTGCTTATCTTAAAGTAAAGTTGTTGTTTTTTAAAATCCAAAGATTGCTTTAAAATTTTGAGTTGC